ATCACTGACGAGGCCCCATCGATGCGATCGGTCGTAACTCGCTGCGCTCTAGTTGTCGCTTTGGTGTTGGCGGCGTCGTACGGTTTCGCCGAGCATGTCTGTCGTTACTGCCAGGCCGGCGCCGCGGCGGAGGCCGCCAAGCATGGCCCGCACTACGCGCCGGACCGTGTGGTCGATGTGAAGCACATCAAGATCGACGTGACGCCCGACTTCGCGGCGAAGACGATCCACGCCACGACGACGCTCGAGTTCGCGCCCATCGCCAAGCCAGCGCGGCTGGTGACGCTCAACGCCGTGGGCCTGCGCGTCGAGAAGATCGACGCCAGCCGCAAGCTCGCCGAGCACTCTTCGACGGGCGAACACCTCAAGCTGCTCTTCGAAGAGCCGATCCCCGTCGGCGAGACGGTGAAGGTCGCCATCACTTACACGGCCGAACCGAAGAAGGGGCTCTACTTCCGCACCGAGGACATGGGCTACCCCAAGGGTGAGGATCATATCTGGACGCAGGGCGAAACGCACGAAGCGCCGCACTGGTTCCCCTGCTTCGATTACCCGAACGAGCGTTCGACAACCGAGGTCATCTGCCGTGTGCCGGAAGAGATGACGGCGCTCTCGAACGGGAAGCTCATCGACGAGACCGTTGATGAAGCGACCGGCCTCAAGGCCGTCCACTGGCGCCAAGGGAAGCCGCACGTGAATTACCTCGTCTGCTTGTGCGCGGGGCACTTCGCGAAGCTCGAGAAGGAAGCGTCGGGCGTGCGGTTGGGCTTCTACACGCAGCCGAGCTTCATCGACGAGGCGCCGAACTCGTTCCAGGACACGGCCGCGATCCTCGAGTTCTTCCAGGAGGAGATCGGCGTCCCGTACCCGTGGGACAAGTACGACCAGGTCACTATCCTGGACTACAACTGGGGCGGCATGGAAAACACCACGCTCACCACCCTCACGCACGAGACGGTCTACTCCGACGCCACCGAGAACGTCCGCTCTTCGCAGGGGCTCGACGCCCACGAGTTCGCCCACCAGTGGTTCGGCGACTACGTCACTTGTAAAGATTGGAGCCACATCTGGCTCAACGAGGGCTTCGCCACCTACTACACGCACCTCTACGCCGGCCACAAGGACGGCCGCGACGCGCTGCTCTATGGTCTGTGGCGTGACGCGACCGGTTCGGTGCTGCCGGCGATCATCAAGAACGGCGACACGAAGCCGATCGTCTACCGCAATTACGCCGAGGCGTTCGACCAGTTCGACTACCGCGCGTACCCCAAGGGGAGCTGGGTGCTGCACATGCTCCGCAGCCGCCTGGGCGAGGACCTGTATCGCGAAGCGATCAAGAAGTACCTCGAGCGCCACGCGTTGTCGAGCGTCGTGACGGACGACCTGCGGCAGGTGCTCGAAGAGGTGTCGGGCCAGCCGCTCGACGCGTTCTTCGACCAGTGGGTCTACCACGGCGGCGCGCCGAAGCTCGAGGTGTCGCACGATTGGAAGCCCGAGGAGAAGCTCCTCCGCGTCACGGTTAAGCAAGGCGAGCCGATCGAGGGGAAGACGATGCTGTTCACGTTCCCTGTAATGCTCCGCGCCCACGTCGGCGACGAGGTCGTCGATCACGAGGTCGAGATCACCAAGACCGAGCAAGACTTCTACTTTAAGCTCGACGCACAGCCCGACGTCGTCCGCTTCGACCCGCAGTTCACCGTGCTGGCGGAGGTGAAGCACGAGAAGTCGGAAGAGATGCTCGAGAAGCAGCTTCAGCTCGCCGACGACATGATCGGCCGGCTTCTCGCCGCCGAGGCCCTCGGCGAGAAGGATAGCAAGGCGGCGACCAAGGCGCTCGCCGCGGCGCTGGGCGAGGACAAGTTCTACGGCGTCCGCATCGCGGCGAGCAAAGCCCTCGGAGAGCAGGGGACCGACGACGCGCTCGACGCGTTGCTCGCCGGTCGCGAGCAGTCCGACGCGCGCGTCCGGCTGCAAGTGGTCGAAGACATCGGCAAGTTCTTCGATACGAAGGCGTACGAAGTATTGAATGCCGTTGTGGCGAACGAGAAGAACCCCGACATCGTCGCCGCGGCGCTCAGCGGCCTCGCCAAGTACCCCGAAGCGGCGGCCGGCGAGGCGATCGCAAGAGCGCTCGATAGCGAATCCTTCCAGAACCAACTCGCCATCGCCGCGGCGCGGGCGCTCGGCAAGCGGCGCGACCCGGCGCTGGCGGAGTC